ACCTTCATGCATGTACTAAGCTATGAGTCTACGGCACAAATGGCAACGTGGTGGGCTAAGGAAAATTAATAACAGATGAGACAATTTGGATGATCGCTCTCTCTTCATGAAATTGGTGTAACCAAAAGAACAATGTTATTATATCATCAAAATATCTCTTGCTTGATCACCAGCAGGTTGCAAGAGTACAGTAAATAATTAATCATCAAATGACAATACTTCATATTTAATTGAGTCAAGCGGAGTCAATGCACTGCCATTGCCAGGCTCAACTTTTTTTGGCTTAATAGAAACTCCTAATCTAAGCTTTAAACTTATGTAATAGTAATAAAATATATTTAAAAAAATTACAAATCAAAAAATAAAAAATTATATAACACATTGCATTTATAGATTTGAGTTTGTAAAATATTTATTGAGTGACAATTAAGATTGAATAAATAATTTTTAAATTAAAAAAAATAATAAATGATAAAGATAAAATCAAATTTTTTATTGATTCAAATCAAGATAACAGAGTTATTAAAAGATTTGGATACATTTAATCTTTATAAATTTTAAACATGTTGAAAGATTTTGATAATTAAATAATTTATTAAATAAGGTTATTTGATAAATAACTAAAATTATTTATTACAAAAATAAAATCTATATTTCAAATTTTTAATTTTTTAAAAATATTTAGATTGATTTAATTTTCAATTATAATTTTAATAATTCTATTATTTGAAAAAATTTAAAATTATTTAATTTGTAATTAAAAGAAGTTATCTATTCTTTTAAAAAATTATCTTAAATGTCATTTAAAAACATTGTTTACATAAATATTTATATGATAAACCTCATCAGTTGTCAATGTATGTTATAACATATATATATTTATATATGATTGTGTAACCTATGTTTATAATCTATTAACTACTATAATCTAACATTAAACGAAACTTAGCTACATGGCCCATCTAATTGACAAGTACAAACCTATATAATTTACAAGTGTACTTGAAATATTTTTTAGATAGATGAATATTTTATATTACATAGTTAACTGGATTTTAGGCCTTTGGATTTTTGGGTTTTTTGGGAAAAAATATTAATTTGTTCGGCCTATATAATTTAGTTTCTTTATATATAAAGTAGCTTTTAATTTTTTTTATGGATTTAATGTGTTGTTGCTGTTTTAGATTTTATTCTTAAATGTTTTTGTGAAAAATTAAACTATTATCAAGTATTCATAATAATTCTACCAATTTAATTATACCTTTAAAATGAGGTGAAAAATGTGAATCTTTTGATGAAAGGAAAAGAAAAAACAACCTAAAAACGTAGAGAAAGATAAGGAGAAAAAGAATTTAGAATAAATATCGTATTTGTAAAATTTATTTAATTTAAAATAATTATTTTTAAATTTATTAAATATAAAAATTTATTGATTTATTTTTTTAAAAAAAAATGATATTTACTAGTATATATTTATAATATGAATATTGGCAAAATTTTATATTAACAAAAATGCGATATTGATTAGATTTTTAAATTTTCATTTAAAATATTTTTAGACATTAATAAGGTTTTGCAAATTTATAAATAAGAAATTTTATTTTGTTATTGAAATACTTTTATTAAATGAATTCATTTGACAAATAAAAAAATTTAAAATTTATATTGAATTTCTTTATTTTCATAGTTATATAATTTATGTTAACATTTAAAGCAATAAAATTTGAATTGATATTAAAAGTTTTAATAACTTCAATAAAATACCCAATTTGTTTAGTTTTAATTTTTTTAATCTTAATTTATTAGTTAATTAGTAAGACAATGAATATATGAATATCTTAACCTAAAGTGGATGATTTCAATATGTATAAACTTTTATAATATTTTTAAAAGTAAATTATCAAGATAATTTTTTTTCATTTTCATGGCACACTAAATAACGATGCATATAAATTTGATACAATTAACATGTGTAAATTCTTTTATTTAAAGATTCGGATAAAAATTTTCTTCTCTTAAATAAAAAAAAGTAGTTATAGAGCAAATTAGAAAACGTTAAATGAAACTTTTGAAACCACATGCATGCAATGCGAACAACAAAAGTCGAAAGCCTAATCTTCCTACTGCTCATTAGGTGTGGAATGAATTGAGCTTGGGAGATGAGTTTGACATGCATGAATCCCAATGTAAATTGTCTATTCGTCTTTTTTAAGAAATCGATTCTAGCAAGATGAGTGTTTGATTCTCGTGCTTGCAAATTCCTCTACTTTAAATTTTGATTTTCTTTGTATAAAAAAGAATACCATCAATGTAGACCAAACAACATTGGTAAAGAAAGAGAGGAATTAATTAGTCAACTTTATTTTTTATCATTAGTTTTTCATCATCTTGCACTTGTAATATATATATATATATATATATACATATATTTATACACACGAAAAGGGGGGCAACTAGCATTAACATAAATAACGGTACACAACGGTCCCAACTGCATCCTTATGTAGTAATTCAAGCACAAAGTTTGGAGGTTCCACGAAGGAAACAAAAGAAACAAAAGTGGCGTCATTGCCTAAACAGCTATTACATAGTTTACTGCTACCGTACACGGCCAGTGCATCAGCACACCTATTGCCTTCCTTAAACACGTGCAGGATCTTCTGGTTTTTAAGCTCTCTCAAAAGCTGCCTGCAATTAGAAGCGAGCGGTTGAAACGTAGGGTTAGGCATCATTTGGCTTTTAATTATAGAAATAACAGCAGATGCATTAAGCTCCGTTTCAAGATTCCTAAGGTTAAGGTTTTTAGTAAGCAATATAACTCATCCTTAAAAAGGTCCATCACTACAAGAAAATAAAAGATTAGTGATGATTTTATAACAATATTTCACTTATAAATATCACTAACTTTCGTATTTTTATAAAATTTAAGATTTTTATTATCAAAACGTCACTAAATATTCAAATAACGATATTATTACTTATAAACGTTATTTAAACTTGATATTAGCGATGCTTATCGACTAAAATACTTTAAAATAATTTTGTTTTAAAAATTTAAGTGAATACTAAAGATGTTTTTGACAAAAAATGATTTGAATAATCTCGTTAAAAAATAAAAAATGAATTACTGAATGTATTTTTAGTAAATAATATCTTTAATAATTTTTTTATAAAAAAAATATATATATAATTATTGAAGGTATTTTTTATAAAAAAAAATTCATTTAACAATTTCATAAAAAAATTTATAAATTTATTAAAAATATTTTTGATCAAAATTACTTTACGTGAGTGGCAACCTTAGCCAATCCAAACCAACCCATATATTAGTCTAGCTGGTTGACTTTCATGTTTGCCCAATTCAATTTCGTCCCCTATTATTCCTCTGCTTGTTTTTTTGTTGAGCACAAAAAAGATTCAGCTATTTGTAAAAGTTTTAGCATATTGCTAAATGTTAAAACATAAATTTGGCCCCAAAAAAAGTTTTTTCCCAAAGATTGATTAATGTGTTACGAATATTATATACAAATTTTATGAGCTATGGCTCTATTTATATATAATTAAAAGTTATTCTATTAAAAATAGTTCACTTGGATCTAATTATTTGAAAAAAAGTAGACTTGAAATGAAATTTTCTTAAATTGTAAACTAATTTTTTTTAATTTTTAATTTATCTTAATCTCTAATTTCTATCTATTTAATTTATTTAAAAAATATTTTATTTTTAAAATTCTCTCAAACCTATCATTTTTAAAAATTTTATTTACTAAACTAATAGTCAATTTGAAAAAAAAATAATCTAATACTCAGTTGTTTTTGGAATTAAATCCTACTTTACTCCGTTGTTTTTTGTTTTTTTTAAAGGGTGTTTCTAAATGAATCTCCGTTTTTCCTCTTTACATTTCTAATTTTTTAAATTTTTTATAAATAAATTTATTTAATTATCTTTTCTCACAAATTTTTTAAATATCTATGTTTGATAAATTTTATAATTTATTGAAAATGAATTTCTGAAAATTATATAATTTACCGATAATAAATTAAAAAAAAAGAAATTTTAAGAAAAATTATAAAAAAGGGATTTTATTAAAAATTTTTACTACTTTGTGTAATGAAAAAATATTATTAAAAAATCATAAATTTTAAAATTAAAAAATAAAATTAATTTTACTATTTTGATTTTAGAAAAAATAAAATGTTATGAGCCTCTAATTAAATATTTTATTTTTTGATGTTATAAAAGATGATGAAAGAACTATTAAGTTTGATTAACATATAAAAAATGAAAATTTTTTAAGTTGTCAATTAATATCATTGAATATTATATAATTTTGTAAAAATTTAATATGTTAATTAAAAAAAATCATTGTGATAAGTAAAAGGAAAGATTTCATTAAAGAGTTCAATTTAATTAGAGTTATTATAAAATTTTAATAATTGTTATAAAAAATATATATTTATTAAAAAATGATAAATTTTAAATTTATAAAAAAATTTAAAATTTCATTTTATCTTTAATTTAATTAGGGTCTTGTAAGATTTTTTTTAAAGATCAAAATAGTAAATTGATATTTTATTAATTTTAAATTTTATGCTTGTTCTTATAATAATTTTTTCATTCACTAAGTGATAAAATTTTAAATAAAATTTACTTTTTTGTAAGTTTTTTAAATTTTAATTATTTTCAAAAAGTTTAATAACTTTAAAAAAATTCATTTTTGATGAGTTTTATAACTTCTAAAATGAATTTTTAAAAATTTATAAAACTTACCGTATATTCAAAAACTTATAAAAAAAAAAAAAAAGGAGGATATAAAAAGTAAAAGTTGTGATGCATTTAAAATTTACCCTTTATAAATAAGCATTTCAAATTTTCACCAAAAAAAAAAAGATTTCAAAGCCCAGTACCAACTCAACACGTTGTTTCAAGTAGGCAAATGTTTTCATTTTTACCGGCTTGCCAAATTCCCGTTGCCCTCTATTTTCTGTAACTTAAACGCAAAACTTAGCTGTCTCTCGCTCATACAAAAAACTCTTGCCTTTTTGAGAAATTTCTCCGTTGTTGATCGTTAGCAAAGGTAATTCTTTCATGAACTCTTCTTCTTCAATACGATATTAAAGCCATTTGTTCAAGTTTTTAAGCTCTCCATTATTATTCCAGTGATTGTCAAAAAGTACAAGGAAAGTTTAAAAGTTGGATCTTGTTGAGGATTTTAATTGGTTTTATGGGTCCTTACTGAATTTTGGTTATGATTAGATATGGGGTTTTAAAGCTTTTTGGGTTTCTTGGGATTTTGATATGATAGTTGCTCATAAATTTGTTTGTGGTTTCAGTTGTTTTCTTAGTTTCTGAGTCACCCTTCTGTTTGGTTGGTAAGAAAAAGAGGGAAATATAAAAATTTAGAATTTTATGGGTCTTTCTGGTTGGTTTGTGTCTATCACTGGAGAAAGAAACTTGGTTTGACTGACTGGAACTACTTGGATTGGGATCAGTGAAGTTGGGTTTCTGTTTTATTAAATATTCAAGTCCTTTTTTTTTCTTTTTCCTGCAAGAAAACGGTATATTAGTGGGTTTGGACTGTGGAGTTGATGGATAATTCGGGTTTGGGAGGTGGGTTTTTATCAGGTCCGAATGAAGGGTTGTTTAACATTGAGTCATCCGTTCACAGACAGCAACAGCCCCATTTGAGTCAACCTTCCTTGATGCCACACAATCATATGGCTATGATGAGTGGCCTTGAAAATGAACACCGTTCCATTGGATTAATGGAGGCAAAAGGCTCTAACTCTAAAGGCGTTTCTGTGAATTTTGGTAAAGGGAAGGGAGTTAGTCCCATTATTGCTCTCACTAATGGAAGCATGAGTGAAGAAGATGAGCCTAGTTACAATGAAGATGGAAATGGTGAGAACTCCAATGGGGGTAGAGGCAAGAAAGGATCACCATGGCAAAGAATGAAATGGACGGATAATGTGGTTAGGCTTCTAAAAGCTGTGGTTGCTTGTGTGGGTGATGATGGTATGATTGAGGGTGTGGAGGGGCTTAAGAGAAAATCTGGGATTCCGCAAAAGAAGGGCAAGTGGAAAACTGTGTCCAAGATAATGATTAGTAAAGGTTATCATGTTTCACCTCAACAGTGTGAGGATAAATTTAATGACTTGAACAAGAGATATAAGAAATTGAATGATATTCTTGGGAGAGGTACTAGTTGTAGAGTGGTTGAGAACCCTTCTCTTATGGACTCTATGCCTCACCTCTCAGCTAAGGCAAAGGATGATGTAAAGAAAATATTGGGCTCTAAACATTTATTTTACCAGGAAATGTGTGCTTACCATAATAGACAGAAGATACCCAATTGCCAGGATCTTGATCTGCGTGGATGTTCTATACCTCTTGAGAGATGCTTGAAAGACAATAAAGGGTCAGATGAGGAAGAAGCTGAGGGAATTGGTGACAGTGAGGATGATGATGAAATGGCCAATGAAGATGACAATAATGCTGTTTATGAGGAGGAAAGGATTGGTGAGTTCAATGAGAGGAAGAAAGCAAGTGCAGAGGAAGGCCATTTCTGGTCACAATCTGCTGGCCAGGATTGCTTCAAGATGGAGATGGCTGGAATATTTCAAGACCCTACAAGGTCATCATTGGAGCGAAAGGAGTGGATTAAGAGACAGATGCTGCAACTTCAGGAGGAAAGAGTGAACTTGCAGACGGAAGCTTTTGAGCTTGAAAAACAATGTTTTAAATGGCTGAGGTACTGCAACAAGAAAGACAGAGAACTAGAAAGGTTAAGGTTGGAGAATGAAAGGATGAGGCTTGAGAATGAGCAGAGTATATTGCAACTGAGGCAAAAAGAATTAGAAGTAGGTTACAGGAGGTCTGATGCATCCTTAGACCCCACTTCACTTGGCATCGACAGACTGCAAGGCAAAGATCAGATTGATACGGGCAGGCATCAATAGCTCTTGTATCACATTCAAATCCATTTGGAAATAAGAGTTATATAGCTAAAGCATGTGAGGCTGGCTTACTTTTTAATAAAGTAAAGTACACTAATCCTGTGAGGTAATGTAGCTTGAGATCAAATTATTAACAATGTATTTTTCCCCCCTTCTTTTACTAACAAACTTAATATTTTCCCTCCTGAACTAATGTTCATATACAGACCATGAAATAACTCTCATAGCCATCCTTGTTGAAGAGGATTCGATGTGTCATTTCCCTTTATGTTCATATTGTTCTTAGAATCCAAGGTTATAGATTGTATGATCTGTCTGGTGATAATCGAGCAAGGCTTTTGCAGTTAAAAGGACAATTATTATTTGGCTGGGTAGAAAGGAGGCACGCAATGCATCTGTACTTGCCTCAGTTAATTCTTTTTCCTTTTCCCCTTATTTATGCTACACTGGTTCCAATTATTTCTAATGTAATTTTGTATACACTGATTTTTTTAACCTTTTTCGTTTGCACTAAAGTGCTTTGGAAGAGGTATGCATGGCATGTCAGACATGTTTGTATGGTTGTGGGATGAAATATCTCTTGCAAATGCATGGTTGTTCCCTGTGCCAAAGATGGTTGAAGATGATGACACCAACTGTCAAAACGGTGTTTGCTGTTCATGTTTGTATTTAGAAACTTGCTCGAGCAATGTCATGTTAATTTGCTTACACTAGGACCATGGCTTTCTCGCATTGTCTCTCAATCAGTAAACATTAATCTAATTGTGTTTTATGTGTCATCTTCAGTGTATGAATGGGTGACCAACATTACACTACTTTAATTAACCAAGTTGTAGGATGGTATGGCGTTTATAATGTTAAAAGTATCTTATGCAAACCATGAGCAAAGCTTGATGCTTGAACTGGGTGAGGTGAGAGGTGTGCAATCTATTCAAAATTGCACGGTGGGGATATCATTATGCACACCAGATATGGTCAGCTATTCATGTTCTCTTTTTCTGATGTTTAGGGTATTCCACTTCCACAAGACTGTTATGTAATTTCTTGGAATTAGGCTACCATGTAAAAGATTGTCAGCCACTCTTTTTTTTTGGATTTAGCGGTGGTCATGCAAGCATATACTAGTATAATTTAATGCCGACATGTTGAATTCCAACTTTTAAATGGCTTCATATGCTTTACTTCATAGTTTTTCTCTTGAGATCCTCTACTTTTGTTACCACGTTTTCAATTAAAAAATTTGTTTAAAGAAACATTAGAAAAAAAAATAACGATCACAAGAAAAACCATGCATAGATGTTATGGGAAGAATACTGTATTAAATAAAAAAATTAGTTTTAAAATATTTTAAAATCTTGACCAATACTTATGGATGCCCGGAATCTTAAAGAAAAATAAAAGCACCAATCTTGGAAAATGCCGGGTCAAAATCGTTTATGGTTGCTCCGAAATAATTGTAAAATTGAACTCTCCTGAAAAAAGAGAAAGATGCGTTAAAGGAAAATTCAAAGTCAAAAAGAGAGAGTTTTGAAAGTTGAAGAATTCACATTTCATATTTCATACCAACCAAAGATAAAAAGTCGAGAATTTGTGATTAGTTGTCAAAATTGTAATCCCCATTCATGAAAAGACCACGCATTTGATAAATCATAAGTTGATAACCAGCTAGTCATATAAAGTGCCTGTCTAAACCCAAACTCCTCCATGCCATTCTGTTTCGCCCTTGTCATTTCGCTCTTATCTTGCTCTTTCCACATTTCAGTTTTCAAGGTTGGCTTTCTATCTCTTTCTTTCTTTTTTTTCTTCCTAAGAAAACTGCTAAGTTTTCTCTGCCATTTACATCATTATGTGATGTGTGATTGATTCACTGGTAACTGTTTTTTCTTTTTTTAGTTTTATGGTTGTGCTTTCATTTCGCCTTATAGTCTGCTCTTGTATTTGAACTATTCTTTCTTCTTCTTATAAACCCGTTTCAGGCCTCTTTTACGTGTCTCTCTATCTTATTTGTTTCTTTTTAGATCTCTTTTCTTTTTCTTTCTTTGCTCTTTTTGTTTCATACTCCTTAACAGGTCAGTCAGTTTTTGGTCTGGCATACTTATTTTTCTCTTTATAATGTTTTTGGTTGTTTTTATGTGTTTTTGTTGTTCACATGTTTCTGTTGGATCTGAGGTCTGATTGAAAACTGATACATGGGTTTTTCGTTTCACTAGGATGGAGGGTTATTCTCATACAGAGGTTGATCTATTGGATTTTTTTTTCCGATCAAATAAATTTGTTTTTTTTTTTTTTCTTAAAAAAAGTTGCAACTTTGAATGAGAACTATATTAATTTTGTATTCAAGCCTTTGGCAGATGGTTTGTTTTGAAATGATAGGATTGTTTTTTAGGGATGTAGCATGGTTTCAATTCCATTGCGACCGGAATCTGTGCATTCGGAGTATATTAATTTTGATGCTTTTGATTGACAGTAACTGCTAAGCTTAAAATCTATATGATGAGTTAAGACTAATCATTACTCAGAACTTCACTTTCAGTCTTACCTCATGAATTTTTTGGTATATTATTTACGTTTATGAAATTTCATAGATTAAACATTGATCTCATCAACAAGATTAAATTGATTTTTTCCCCTCAAACACCATTTCCTTACCAGTTGTTCCTATTTTTATCTCAATCCATACTTATGAGTATGTAACATACAAGTTGGTTTTCTTCTCTAAGTGCGTGAATTTAATGGATATCATTCTCGGGGAAAAAATGAAAATTTTATGCTTTTCATGTATTTGCTACATATGTTGCTTTCATATCCTCTCTTTCATAGCGTTGTTTTCTCATATTTGAGCAATTTTCATTTATTATTTTAAAATTCTTGGGCTGAATTATTCATGTTGCCATTTATGCCCTTATGTTTCAAGGTGGATGGTTTTGTGTAAAATTAGTCAGTCACAGTAAAGAGGATTGTTTTGGTTCATAGATAGTGCAACCATGAAGAATGAAGCTTAATGGCAAGAAAAACCTCTAGTTTGTGAGTTGGGCGACAAATGTTCATTTGTTTGAACTAGTTTTTATTCCAATTGACTTTTTGTGCATCTGGAACCTAAGTGGCTTCTTGTTTATATTTGTATAGGGCCACATATTGTTGTCTTTTTTGAAGTTTTATTTCTTTTGCATATACTTGCTCTATCAATTGCTTTATGCCCAAATGGTGTTTGACAATTTTGTTTTTCTAAATTTACATATCTTCTCAATCTGATGTGGTTTCTCAATTTAAGGCATTAGGGTCATCTTTTGTTTTTCTCTAGCTCATTATAATCATAATATTTGGTTTCTTGTGTAGGTTATTCTTTTGTAGAGAAGTGATGGCTGATAGGCACCAACGTCCTTCTGTCATGCAAAAAGTAGCTGGACAACTCCATCTTGGTTCCAGCCTTTCACAAGATGTTCAATATCGCTATGGAGGATTCCAAAAGCCTATTCTGTATCAGAGGCATTTTGCATTTGCAAGTTGCAATGCTGCACTACAGTATCCCATGACACAGGCATGCCAAGCAAACTATGTTCAGCCATTGGTTGGTTCAAGTTTGTCACCTGTATGTGTCCAGGCTCCATCAGAGAAAGGCATTGCTGGTTTCGCTATTGATTTTCTTATGGGTGGTGTTTCTGCTGCTGTGTCCAAAACTGCTGCTGCTCCTATTGAACGTGTGAAGCTCTTAATTCAAAACCAGGATGAGATGATTAGGGCTGGTCGACTCTCTGAACCATATAAGGGGATTGGTGATTGCTTTAGAAGAACAATCCAAGATGAGGGCATGATGTCATTGTGGAGAGGAAACACAGCTAATGTGATCCGTTATTTCCCCACTCAGGTTAGTAATATCTTCATAGAAATTGCTCTATCTTCATTCTAACTTAGAGCTGTTTTATTGTATATGTTCTCTGATTTTATTTTTTTCTTATTTGCTTCAGGCATTGAACTTTGCCTTCAAGGATTACTTTAAAAAACTGTTCAACTTTAAGAAGGACCGGGATGGCTACTGGAAGTGGTTTGCCGGCAACTTGGCATCTGGTGGTGCAGCTGGTGCCTCTTCCCTTCTCTTTGTCTATTCGCTGGATTATGCCCGAACTCGTCTTGCTAATGATTCCAAAGCTGCAAAGAAAGGAGGAGAAAGGCAATTCAATGGCTTGGTTGATGTATATAGGAAGACTCTGAAGTCAGATGGTATTGCTGGCCTTTACCGTGGCTTCAACATTTCATGTGTTGGCATCATTGTGTACCGTGGTCTTTACTTTGGAATGTATGATTCTTTGAAGCCGGTGGTCCTTGTTGGAAAGTTGCAGGTCAGTAGATTTTTTGGTGGCCTTTTGGACTAGATTTTCCAATTCATTTTTGACTTTTTTCATCGACTAATAGTCATGCTATCTAATGACGATAAGATAACTGCCGTAGTGCTGTCCAAAATATTGACAATAAGATCAAGCTAAAGGATTTTGCTCATGTTAATTTTTGGTTTGGATGATAACAGGATAGCTTCTTTGCTAGCTTTGCCCTTGGTTGGGTTATTACCAATGGTGCTGGTCTTGCCTCCTACCCAATTGACACTGTCCGTAGAAGAATGATGATGACATCTGGTGAAGCTGTCAAGTACAAGAGCTCACTTGATGCATTCTCTCAGATCCTTAAGAATGAGGGTGCCAAGTCTCTCTTTAAGGGTGCTGGCGCAAACATCCTCCGTGCAGTTGCTGGTGCTGGTGTGCTTGCTGGCTATGATAAGCTCCAGATGATTGTATTCGGAAAGAAGTATGGCTCCGGTGGGGCATAATCATGCCAACTATCTTTTCCACAAGAACACAGATGGTGGCACAAATCATTTGCAATTTAATTGGTTTCCAGATTTTGCTGAGCGCAATTTTTTTCTCATTTGAATAACTTAGTTTAGAGGGGTTTGTTCCCTGCAACACTGATAATTTTGGAGGAAATTTTTACCCCATTTATCCTAATTATTTGAGATATTGCTGCAACCTTACATCACTACTTTTTGAAATTATATATCCCTTTATAAGATTCCTCATTTCCCCTGGATTATTATGTTCACTCTTTGCTTTTCTAAATTCTAAGAGTGATTTATAGTCGAGTTGTTACACTGCAAATTGTTAAAGAGACTGCAGATCATGATTCGTACCTTTCTTTTTGAACAGCACCATGCATCAACGGAGTAAATAAATAAATTAAAAAAAAAAGATAAAGCAATTCACTGAAATCCTCTTTGCTAAGCAGCAACCACTCCTTGAGACTCTGTAGGAACTTGCTGCTGTTCATTCATTGGGAGGAAAGCTATACAATTGTCTTTTTTCTTTTTTTGGTTTTTCAGGTCACAATTGTTTAATGAGATGGGCTCCCAAATCGTTCTTTTAAATTGTTCTTAAAAGATCTTTCCCGCCTTTTGTTCAACTCGTTACTAATCCCTGCAAACCTTAATGTCTGCATGCAAAAATCTGATGACCCCTCTTCTCTATGTTATCATCAAATCTCAGATCTCTACATTTCATTTCTAAACCTCTTCTTCTTCTTCTTCTTCAAAGGAAAGAAAACCTACCACCAACTATAACAAAAACCATGCTTTGTTTCTCAATAACCCAATTTGCTCAACCCTACAGCAATGCAAATCCAAGCCCAAATGACCATCAAAGGCTTAACGTCAGATTGGTTCTTTTCCGGCCCCCTTTTCGCCTTTTGCTGCTTATCGGAACACAAAAATCTTGATCATTGCATTAAAA